GTCTTTTTATCTCTGACGATGGACTCCAGTAAGAGCTCGAAAGCTCAGACAAGTAAAATCATGATTCAGGTGATTTAACTCTGCCCCTGTTGTAAACTCCCGCGTATAATGCAGAGCAGCCTCCTATTGGCCGGGCGCGCACGCACCCACGCTCAGTACTTTAAACGGAGTTAGGTCAGCATGGGATGAAGCTGCCATCTGATGACGGGTCTGCCTGCATGTGGTCCTGTCGATGTGGTCCCCACCTTTTTTATGACTGTTCCCGAGTGTGCGACCCCATTTTATTCCTTCAACATGCTGTGCGTCGTGGCCAGTTTTTTTTTTCTTTTGCTTCCTTTAACACACGTGTGCTTTTAACTTGCTGCGCGGACTTGGGCCATAAGCCCGCGCTAGTATGCGTCAAAATTGTGTGCACTGGCTGCCGTAGTATTTCTGTTTTTTCTCTGTTCCTCCTTTGGTAGCCTGGGAAACGCATCTTACTGTCTACCCGGCAGGCTTTACAGAAAGTTTTAGGGACCACATTCATCATCACCCTCGAGAGCTTATAACCCTGTTCCTTAGTAGAACAAGTCGCTTGCATATAGTTTACTTAAAGTGAGGTCTTCAGAATCGCCTTGCTCCTTTAAAAAACCTGAATTATGGTGTTAGGCGAACGTGTTGAGGTCCTATCGTTTCGTTTGCAATCAAAATTGGATTACGATACCTGTGGTTTACGCGGGATCCCGCGTTAGTCTTGGTCCCCAATGCAGTATAAATACCAGAAAGTGCCGCTCACAAATCTGATTTTATTGGAGGCTAATTAAAGGTTTACTGAGGTCATACTCATGATCTAGTGCTCGACGATGTAGTCTGATTGCAACACTTGGTACGGCTTACACCATGTCTGATCTAGTAGTGTCCTCTAAGGTGGCACGGACTATGCTTACTCGGTCATTGCCAGCAGATCGGATGGCACGGACTATGCTTACTCGGTCATTGCCAGCAGATCGGAAAAATTCAACTCGCTGGGCTCCCCGGTGACAGAGACCGAATACTGCGGGTGCATTGCGTTGAACGAAGTTTTGGGTTGACCCCTTCGACTCTTGCAGCTGGACAGCAGCCTGGGTTCAGGGACTGCTAAACTGAACTCATTATGTGGATTTTTAAGAATGCGCCCATTCCACGGCAGCCGTCTTCCTTGCATGTCGGTCGTATTTATGCGCGTGGTGTTGTCATATCGTGGGGCGGTGGTTAGGGCATCGGACTTCTAACTAGCAAGTTCTCGGATTTGAGCCTTGGGGTTCGACACTCCTGGGGTTGGCTATGGCTGGCTGATGAGGACTTATAAGTCGGAAACGGTTATTCCGGTCTCCCTTGTCTTTGTCGGTAATGTCATCCTGCCCCAAAAGATGCGCTAGCTGTTGAACGACTGCTGGCGAGTCTCGAGCGCGAACCCCAAGGCACAGCAAGATGAGCGAGTGACGGAACCGATTAGTGAGCGCCTGTCTATTGTTTAAATTGTTTAATTCAGGACGGGGCCGGTCCAATTCACTGAAAGGTGATACATGCAATCCCAATTCTATCGTTTTTTGCGTCCCTGTCATCGGTGGCTGACCGGTTACCGAAATCAGATGCTGATAAGAAGACTAAATGGGTCCATGGACAAACTGGACGCTACCTGAACTAGCTCCGCAATCATTTAAAAGCAGCTGCTGCCGCCGCTGCCTTACTCCCCCTCAAGCCTGACTGGACACAGTCAACACTAGCCCTGGCCTTGACTGACCACTGCTGCCTAAGACAGCAACTCAGGTTTCCGCACACAACAAATCCCTCATACTGGTGCCTTCTACCTTTTCTCAACAGCCTGGGGTTCGATCCGACGATTGTAGTGATTTAATTGCAAACAGTACCTAGATCCTTTACAGCCTAATAACTCAAGACCATTGGGAGCAGCCATTACCTTACAATGATGCTGGAAAAGAGGTGTTTTCCTAAACGTCAGTACGAATACAATTTGGTTTAGTTTTTAGTTTTCTTCTGGAGCTGATGAACGCGATATATCTATATATGGTAGATGAGTGTATGCCTATATGTATGTAAGCAGAAGAAAATTACTGAAAAAGTCAAGGAAACCTGGAATAGCCGTTTCTGGCTTATTAGCCGTCATCAGCCAGCCAGCTAGCAAAACGCAGCCCCGGGTGCTGCGGCACTTAAGGATCGAACCCGCGATCTGTTGACTAGACGTCCAATGCTCTCATCATTGAGCCACGGGCTCGTTGCCTCGCTGGTTTAGATCGGGAATATTGGTGACGGTGATCACTTACGGAACACACCTGTCCCCTTTTGCCTTGGGTCTCACTCTCGAGACCCATCAACAGCCGTACAGCAGCGAGTTCTGTAGGCAGCTGAGCATTGTCGATGCAGTTGCTGTACAAGTACACATATATAAATAGCCGATGACGCCTAATGAGGCAGAAAAGGTCTTCCTAGTGTCCCATGTCTTTGCTGGTAATGTCCTACTGCCTATATCCTAGCGGCCTCGCGGTGGCGGCTCGAGTGAGAGCTCTAATGGCAACATGGGCCGACGAGTGTTTCCTCTAACAGATCGGTGTACGCATATATGCCGCCATAAATATTTCTGTATTAGTCGGAGCATTTTCGTGCGTATTGCAATGGATGAGGTGGCCGCTAACTTTGATAGGCGTGTGCTCATATCACAACTATTCCCCGTAGATGCTGTGATTCTTGCTCTCATCACTATTTTCCATTGTTGGCTCTGAGAATGGGTTGAAGCGTGAGGCCGAAACATCAGGCGACCAAAATTACTTATCCAACGAGCGACTTCCCTCTACTCGTTTTCTGCTTACTTGTCAGCTTATATTGAACATATCCAATGCCATACTGAATAAATATATAATTCGGCAGTTTCGGGTTGATCAAAAGTTGCTGTTCTGTCACCGTTAGTAACTACTGTGTGATGAGAAAATTTCCGATCTCGAGGCCGAATCTGCAGCTCAGCCCTAAAACGGTTGGTTCCTACGCTCACCGATAATTCCGGTGCCGCGCTCCATCCTAGAATTCCTTGCT